GGCCAACACTTTTACCTCAGGCCTGCTGCAGTGCTTCAGCGAGGCTCAGTGTAAGCTGGAACAACAGTACCTCATTTCTGCTTGGGGACCCGGCAGGCTTCAGGGCTCAATATAGAGTTCAATAATTTTCTTCTTCCTTCTCCCATGTCCTTTACCCACCCTGACACCCCAGGCCCTGTTATCATTCGGACCGCTTTCAGCACAGACCACCCATCCTTACCTATATAAAAGTCCCCGTTAGCAGCTTGTCTTTCTCCCTGCTTTACCATTATCCATCCCTTTGTCTGCCGGTCTTTCTCTCCTCTGGGCTCTGTCTCCACCTCCCACTTACCCCTTTACCTCTCCACACCACCTAATCCCATCTTCAGCATATATACCACCTTTTTGTAGCTACAATCAGTTCTGACGAAGGGTTACCGGACCCAAAATGTTAACTCAGCTTTCTCTGCACAGATGCTGCTGGACCTGCTGAGTTTCTGCAGCAATTTGTTTATTCTTTGAGATTTTCAGCATCCATGGATCTTTGTTCTGTAATCCACCTTGTGGATGTTGGCGTCACTGTTCAATAGTGAGTAGTTAACAGAATTGAGCCTAAAAATTGCTGCACAGTGATTTAATCCTATCTAATGTTTGACTGACAGACAGCGTGAGAAAAGAAATTCTCCCTTCTGCTGTGCAAGCAGAACTCCTAAAACCTAATAGAGTCTTCGAGTTTTACAGCACAGAATGGGACTCTTTGGGTCACCGGGTCTGCACTGGCCATCAAGCACCTATCTACTCTAGTCCCATATTCCATCATTTGGCCCATAACCCAATGAGTCATACAGCCATAGAAACAGACTCTTCGATCCAACTCATCCATGCTGACTAGATATCTTAAAATAATCTAGTCCTATTTGCCAGCATTTTGCCAATATCCCTCTAAACCCTTCCTATTCATGTATCCATCGAGATGCCTTTTCAATGTTGTAATTGTACCATCCCCCATCACTTCCTCTGGTAGTTCATTCCATACACGTACCATGCTCTGTGTGAAAAAGTTGTCTCTTAGATCCCTTTTAAATCTTTCCCCTCTCACCTTAAACGTATGCCCTCTAGTTTTTTGACTCCACTACCCTGGGGAAAAGACCTTAGCTATTCACCCTATCTATGTCCTCATGATTTTATAAACTTCTATAAGGTCACCCCTCAGACTCCAACGCTCCAGGACAAATAGCCCCAGCCTATTTAGCCTCTTCCCTGTAGCTTGAGCCCTCCAACAGTGGCAATGTCCTTGTAAATCTTTTCTGAATGCTTTCAAGTTTCACAACATCCTTCCTACAGCAGGAAGACCAGAATTGAAAGCAGCATTCCAAAAGTGGCCTAAACAATGTCCTGTACAGCCTCAACATGACCTCCCAACTCTATGCTCAATGCACTGACCAATAAAGGCAAGCGTACTGATGCCTTCTTCACTTTCCTGTCTACCTGTGACTTTACTTTCAGGAAGCTATGAACCTGCACTCCAAGTCTCTTTGTTCAGGGACATTCCCCAGCACCCTACAATTATCTGTATTATTCCTTCCATGATTTGCCTTTCCAAAATGCAGCACCTCACATTTCTCTGAACAAATCTCCATCTGCCACTCCTCGGCCCATCAGCCCACCTGATCAAAATCCCGTTGTACTCTGAGGTAACCTTCTTCGCTGTCCACTACACCTTCAATTTTGGTGTCATTGGCAAACTTACTAATCATACCCACTGTGTTCACATCCAAACCATTTAAACAAATGACAAAAATCAGTGGACCCCGCACCGATCCTTGTGGCACACCGCTGGTCACAGGCCCCCAGTCTGAAAAGCAACCCTCCACCACCACCCTCTCTCTCCTTCCTTCGAACCAGTTCTGTATCCAAATGGCTAGTTCTCCCTGTATTCCATGTGATCTAATCTTGCTAACCAGTCTACCATGTGGAACCTTGTAGAATGCCTTACTGAAGTCATGTAGATTTTTTCCACCGCTCTGCCTTCATCAATTGTCTTCGTTACTTCTTCAAAAACTCAACTAAGTTAGTGAGACACGATTTTCCACAGACAAAGCTTGTTGACAATCCCTAATCAATCCTTGCCTTTCTAAATACGTGCAAATCCTGTCTCTCAGGATCCCTTCCAACAACTTGACCACCACCGATGTCAGGCTCACTGGTCTATTGTTCCCTGGCTTTTCCTGACCACCTTTCTTAAATAGTGGCACCACGTTAACCAACCTCCCGTCTTCCGGCACCTCACCTGTGACTATTGATAACAAAAATATCTCAGCAAGGGACCCAGCAATCACTTCTATAGCTTTCCACAAAGTTCTAGGGTACACCTGATCGGGTCCCAGGATTTATCCACCTTTATGTGCTTTAAGACAGCCAGCACCTGCTCCTCTGTAATATGGACATTTTTCAAGATGTCGCTATTTATTTTCCCAAGTTCTCTAGCTTCTGTATCCTTCTCCACAGTAAACACAGATGCAAAGTTCTCATTTAGTATCTCCTGTGGTTTCACACATAGGCAGTCTTGCTGATTTTTAAGGGGTGCTATTCTCTCCCTAGTTATTCTTTTGCTCTTGATGTACTTTTCGAAACTCTTTGGATTCTCGTTAATCCTATTTGCCAAAGCTATTTCATGTCCCCTTTTTGCCCTCCTGATTTCCATCTTAAGTATATTCCAACTATGTTTATACTCTTCTAGGGATTCACTCGATCCCTGCTGTCTATACCTGACATATGTCTCCTTCTACTTCTTGACCAAAACTTCAACTTCTCTAGCCATCCAGCATTCCCTACACTTGCCAACTTTACCCTTCACCCTAACAGGAGCATACTGTCTTTGGACTCTTGTTATCTCATTGTTGAAGGCTTCCCACTTTCCAGCTGTCCCTTTAATTGCGAATATTATATATCCCTTAACTTAAATCTATTATTAATCATTTTAAGGGGAGAAATTTCTTCTATCTCTGCAGTCATAATATTTTTTAGACCTTCAACAGGTTCCCCCCTCAGCTGTCCTGCTTCATGGAAAACAACCCCAGTCTATCCAGTCCCTCTTCATAACTGAAATGCTCCAGTACAACCAAATCCTCCACACTCCTCTAGTGCACTTACATCCATCCCATGGTTAGGCAATGCAAATGACACACACAACTCCCTCAATGGGGAAGCCTAACTAACACTGTACACAGTTCTATCATATCCTCCTTGCTCTCGTATACAATGCCTTGAAGAAGGCAAGTATCCCATAGGCCGTCTTCATCACATTATCTACCTATCCTGCTGCCTTCAGGACCCTGTGGACATGCACGCAAAGATCCCTCTGATTCTCTGTATTTCCCAGGTCCTACAATTCATTGCATACTCCTTGCCTTGCTAGTCCTCCCAAAATGCATCATCTCTCACTTTTCAGGATTAAGTCATATTTGCCATTGTTGTGACCATCTGACCAGTACTGTCTGCAATCTAAGGCATTTATCTTCACCGTTTACCACTTCACCAATTTTCATGTCACATACAAACATAGCGATTAAACATCCTACATTTGTGCCTAGATCATTATAGCTCATACAAACAGCAAAGAACCAGCATCTATGCATGACACAGGATTCCAATTACAAAAACATATGCATCTTATAAGTTCAATGCAAAGTTCAGAGGGACCTTTCTTCCATGGTTGCTGAAAAATTAAACTCTGTTAAAGTCTGGAAATCCTCCATGTAGAACTAATGGACGTTTTATGACAATTAACACAGAGTAACATTTTTAGATGCTGCTAATCGAAATTCATGGTTTGTAGAATAGTTTGTTCCATTCAACGCATCTTCTGGAAGAGATTACTGGGAAATAGTGAACTAAAATAAGACAGTATAATTTTAACCCAATGGGGATTATTGGGACAGGACAAAATAGGATCACTTTCTTTCTGTTCTTGAGCTGTAACTGAGTCAAGTGAAGACAAACACAGATCACAGTAGCAGTAATATGGAAAAAAGATAAGAACGGTTTCAAGGGAGTGTGGGACAGGAGGTTAGAAGTAAATTTATACAAAGCAATAAAGTTTTACCCGCCTCCTGCCCTAAGCGTTACAGAGATACTATAAGAGCTCTCTGAAACAGGGGTGCAGTAGTCACATTTTTGACTGGGCTTTTAGCTCTAGAGCAAACTTAGAGGGAGGAATAGCATTAGAGAAAGAAAAGGGTGGAACCTAAGGTTAGAAGAGGTTATCATTACTAGGTTTGCAAGGTGTAGGAAGATAACAGATTTTACTGATTTGATATTTTGTTAACTGCTTCTGAAGATTCCAGAATGTTCAACCAACTGCATAACAACTCACCCACAATTTTCATGCCAACAAAATGAATTTCATGTTTCATAACTCTCAAAACTCAAATGTAAAACATCCTGTGGTGTCTTTGCTTTTAGTTAAGGGAGAAGGTTAACTTTTTCAAGGCAGATTCATTTTAGTATGATCAACCGTACGGCCATCAATATAGAGGGAATTCCAGAGTTTGTGACAATTTTATACAAATATAACTATGACTAGAGAACTTTATCCCCAAAACGTGAACAAAAAACATCAAAATGTCACTGTTAATAAAGGCCTTTATAGTTTTACTTTCAGTTCTTTAAGATCCCTGATGCATTCCTGGGACTTCTCATCCTCCAGAAAGAATTGAAACCAGTCTCAGGATATTTTGTGCATGCTTTCAATTGGGATTGATCTGCACCTGACTGCTTACAGCGATAGTGAATGACAGGGAGAGGACCCCAGCAACTTCCTTTCCAGAGAAAGCAAATTCTCACCATTGTACTGCTCTCAGAGCCGCATCTCATGTCCAAAAAGAATTCCATTATTGCCTTGTTCCAAGGTATTCTGGCACGCCAAATTATCTTATCATTGGACAGCAGTAAATGTGCACCACCTCCCACCCTCTATCTTTCCCAGTGAATACTGGCAACAAAAAAAAAATTCTACTTACATCTGTAATCATTTTGCCTCTGGTCTTGTTTCTTTCTCGGTGATTGGCGCGTTTCTGTTTTTGCTGTAACACTCGCTCCCTCGTGGTACGGTACTCGAGAGCAAATTCACTGATGATCTTACAGAACTTATGAATATTCACGTCCCTCACTGCATGTGGAGGATGTCCCATGAACAGTAGAAAAGCATGGAATCTATAAACGACATTGGGGAGAAGGAACGTAGTATTTAGAACCATCTGTTCAGCCATTGCACATATGAATATCTGATCACTGGACCAAATCTTGCATGCATGACAGTTAACTGCACAAAATCTTTTACAAGACAAACAGTGATAGAATTACAAACACTTAATAAAGGGATGTTATAATGACAGCATTCCTTACAGAAGCATTTCCACAGACTCAGTTGTTTCCCATTGTATATGGGCTTGTAGTGATGAGTTATTTTTGAGAACGATGAATTGTAAAATTGGATAATTTCACTTATCCTAGAATTCCATTGAACAGATTTCTTATGTACTTATCTGGGGGTTGGGGGGTGGGGCTTGATCATGTTTCAGATGTACTGCAATAAACTTATCGAACTGAAAGACCGACAGATTTTAATTTTGGTTCTCCCATTCGACAATTCAACTTTGGTGTTTGGGTCCACAAGCACGGTTTACTATCTAATCACAGTTGCATTATTGTTCAAAGGATCAATAAGACAGTATCACTGTTGTGAAATGAGCAACAGATGGAACAACTACAGGCCCAAAATGCTTCAACAGAATCCACTTCAACTCGTCAGTGAAATAATATACAAGTGGAAACTTCAAACACATCTTCACATCGAACAAAACTGAGGGGTGGATTTGGGGAAAATTAAAATTCCAACGGCACCTACGGTGAGTGTGTGGGTCCAAGTTTGCACAGTGCCCTTGAGGCACACTTCAGGAGATTCTACAACTTCTGCCTCCTGCTGGATTAGTAGAGAATGAATTATTGGGTGATTCCACCATTCCAGCTGGCATTGGGGAAACCACAGATTGGCACCTGAGAAAATTTTAGACATTAAAAATGATCACATCAGCCTTCAAAGGCACGCCACAGGAAAGCACAACCACAGAAAAGTGAGGTCTAGTTTTTCAGTGTGCAAAGTAGCATGGTTTTTCCAAAAAGATGAAGACTCTCAGGAAGCCTCTCATTCGCTCTTCACTCTCCCTCTTCCCACACCTCATCAGAAGCAATTGAGATCCAGAATTTGTCAGCCAACCAAAAAACAAAATGGTGGAGGGTGTGATGGGAGTAGTTGGGAGTGTGGAGGAGCCTAAAGCAGCAACATGACTGACTATTCTTGGGAGAAACACTTCTGGCCTGACAAAACAGTAGGGCCTGCAAGAGTGGTAACAGTATGGCGGTACGTCTGCCAACTCCATTCCTAATGTCAATTCTGACCAATTAAAATTGATATCAGTGCCTTTCAAAATGCCACCTGGTAAAAGGAGTGAAAAGGTCCTGGATTTTTCCCAAGCCCTTCCAGTGGAAAAACAGTCATAAAAACCCTGGATTGCCAGTGACTGGTTTGTGCCTCTCCTCACTTCTGCCCATCACAAAACCAACAGGTCGCATTTATCTAGCACTTGTAAATTGGTTCAATGTTCCAAAACACTTCACAGGAAAATTAATCAAAAATTTGACACAGAAATACATTGAGATGTTAGGACACAAACTAAAAGCTTTTAAGGATTATTACAAAAGGAAGGAAGAGAGGTAGAGGGGCTTGTGTGGGAAGAAGCAGAGCTTAGGGCCTCACAAGATGACGGCACTGTCAACAATAGTAGATTGACTATTAATTAGGCATGTTCAAGAGGCAACAAAGGCATGGATGAGAGTTTCCGTAGCAGATAAACTAACACAGTATCGGGGCAACTGAGCAAATCCTGTGTACTTTCCATCATCCACCACCATGCAACTTCCACTTTGGTTTAAACATACTGCATAGACTACGCAGAAATCCACACAGGAACAATAAGCATAAGAGGAAGTTTTGGTCAGAGGTGGGTCAATGTTACAGAGATAGAATTTAGCCATTTTAAAAATGGACTGGGTTTGTGGTTGTAAGGCCATCTCAGAGTCAAAAAGAATTCCAAGGTTCTAGAAGAGAATGGTACAGTGGCCAGGTTGGTGACTGAGACTGTGGCCAGAGAATGGGCTGCGGGACAGGGGCTGGAGACAATGGCTGCAGGAAATTTCTGCTCCAACCAGTACTGAAAGCAAAACAAACATAACAAATCAGAGTTGGTGAAGGAGCAGTAAGGTAGAGCTGGGGGTTTCAGAAGGTGAGAGGAACCTGATGTGTTTCCAGATGAAGTCTCTATGAGTCAGTTTGTGGCCAAGGAAGTCTAGCCATTAGTGTGAACCAGACCCTACTGCCATTAGAAAAGTACCAGAAATTCAGCAGTCTGTTTCCACTTTGGAGCTGGGTTGAGAGCTGTGCACCTAATAGGGAAGTTAACACTCTACTCCATTTATAGGCTGGTGAATGAGTGAACAAATGGCAGATGAAATTCAATGTATTAAAGTATATGATTGTGTGTTTTGATCAGAACAATGAGGAGAGCCAATGAAAAACTTGGTACAATTTAAAATAATCCATGTAATGCCTTGGATTTTTGCACAAATCTTCGAAGGCGCCAAGACAGATTAACAAAGCAACTAAAGGGAAATCTTATCATAGGAATGGTGTACAAAAGCCATAATGATATGCAAAACCCACACAAAATAATAGTACTAGCGCCACACTTTGGAAAGAACGTGAAGGCTTTCGAGAGGACCCAGAAAGTATCTACTGGAACAGCTTTAAGTGATTGCAGTTGGTATGGATGGGCTGGAGAAGCTGAGGGAGCTCTTCTTGGAGCACAGAAGGAGGGGTCAGGTTTGGCAGAGGTGTCGTAAATGTTGAAGGGTTTAGATAGAATAAAGATAAACTTGCTTCCAATAGGTAAAGGAGCAACAATCAAAAGGTACAAAGGAGGAAACGTGAGGGAAAACAAGGTGGGTAGGATTTGGAATGCACTGGCTGGTCAAATAGTGACTGTAGATTCAAGAGTAGCTTTGACAGGTGAGCTGGATAAATACGAGAGGAGAACAAATTGCAGGGATATGGGAAAGCGCAGCAAGGAGGTGGAAGTAACTGAAATGGCCTGCACAGACTTGAACTGCTGAAAGCTTTCCTCTTGTTCTGCTCAAGTCCATGACTGCATCGCTCACATTAAGTCTATGACTGTAACAAATCAGTCTCGTTTGGTTTTCATGGTAATTGATGTCATGTTGTTTTGAAAAAAAAAAGAACCTCAGCGTGCAGTGACAATTAATGTTAATATTCTTGAATACTCTTCTGCCTTAGTTTTTGACTTAACTGGTATATTTTAGTTACAGTGCGAACACTAGTACTTTCAAGAGAGGGACTGATTGGGAGAACTTATGAGTTCGACACAAGAGCAAATTTCACCTCCCAAAGGAAAATCATAAACTTCATGAGTATCAGTGACTCAGGTGATAGCCCTATTGCTTTAGTGTCTGAAAATAGTGGGCTCTCGGACAGCAGTAATTCTGTGGAATTCTCTTCCCCAGGGATCAATGGAGCCAGAGTCGTTGAACCTTTTTTTTAAAAAAACAGTAGAGACAGAGTCAAAGGTTAAAGGGAGAATGCAGTAAAGGGAAGTTGAGGCCACAATCAGATCAGTCATGATCAACCGGGGAAGCAGGTTTGAGAGACCGAATGGCCTACTTCTGCTCCCATGTTTATATGTACTCAAGAAGTTTACAAACCAAGATCTAAACTGTTGTCTCTAGTGTTGAGGAAACATGCCACCTCTAGTGGTGAGGGGGTGCCATCTTTCAGATGAGGCATGAATCGGAAGCCTCAACTGCCTTCTTTGGTAGGTGTAAGAGATCTCATGCATACACAAAAGGAACCTTAGCACTATTTTGAAGACAATTAGAGGTGTTTCTCCACTTGTCCTGGTTAATACTCATCCATCAGCCAAGGCCAAAACAGATGGCCTGGGATTTCTTTGCATGGTGGTGTGATTCCTGGCCCACCAGTCATACACCCAGTGGAGAACATATTGGCACCAACTTTGACTGCTCCACAGTCACTTAATACTCCACAGTTCACTGCTCACCCATCCCGTGATCTGACTAACCAGACATTCTCCGATCCAAGTTGTGTAAGCTGCTACACTGGAAAGTGCTCGGGTGATGGGTGACTGCAGAACAAGACAGCCTAAGAATAAGGGATAAGCCATTCAGGACTGAGATGAGGAACAATTTCTTCAGTCAGAGTTGTGAACCTGTGGAATTCTCTCCCACTGGAAGGTGTTCAGGCCGGTTCATTGGATATATTCAAGAGGGAGCTGGACATGGTCCTTGCGGCTAAAGGGATCAAGGAGCATGCGGAGAGGGCGGGAATGGGATACTGAGATGGTATGATCAGCCATGATCATATTAAATGGTGGTGCAGGCTTGAAGGGCTGAATGGCTTACGCCTGCACCTATTTTCTAATGTTTCTGTGCAAGACACAGAATCCTGTAACAGGCTAGTGCGAGGTCTCAGGATGTGGATGGGTTGTGAGTGCCAACGGAGAGATGGATGGGGTGGTAGTAGCAGCACCTACAGGGAAGACCTTGTTGGTGATGGTGGAGAAGGCGACGTCACTCCTGTGTAAAGGGGTCTGTTGATGAAGGCACCTTCCCACCCAAGGCCCGAGCCGGGTCACGTTCTGGGCTTCCCAGTTGCCGCTGATTTCCTCCCACCAGACTGAAAATGGAGGCCGGCTGGGAAACTCTCTTAACCAGTCATTCATTGGCAACTTAAGGGCCTCAGATGGCACTGGGGTGTTTATGCTGATATAGGCTCCCCAACTCCAGGACAGCGAGCTGGTCAGGGTGGGACCAGGAGCGGTGCGATGGCCTTCCAAAGAATTTTGTGAGCCCTTAACGCATCCCTCTTAAAATTCCCACAACTCCATTTGTTTGGGGGTGTGGGTGTGGACAGAGAGGAGAGGAAAGCACTGTAAAATTCTACTTGCGAACTAGCCTTTGATTTACTGAATGTGGGATCTTGCTGTGCACAGATTGGCTGCCAGTCTTCCAACAACACAACAGTGCAAACATTTCAGAAGTTTTTCAAAAGTTCTAAAGTGCTTTGGGACATCCTCAAGGAGTGAAAGGGTGAATGCAAAATGTCAGTTCTTTGTTTATAAAAAGCACATTCATAATCTATTACATCCAAAATTTTCTCCTACTCAGTGGGTAGAACAGGAACCAATATCACAAGCCTACCCTACCAGGATAAATTGGGGTTTTAGACACACACTGACCAACATCATCAGATGAAACGGTTAGAAAACTAAGCACGGTGCGCCTAGATTGTCAATTATATTCTTGATAGGTCAGACATAGAGTCCTGAATATCTCAGAAAATACAAATGCAACAACAACGCATTTTCCAAGACTGTCGGTGTCTGTAATTCTGCACTGATTTCACTTTTGATTTGATGCTGAAGATGAGAAAGAAGCTGACTTCTGATTTCCCTCCAGTTTCCTCCAAGAAAACATCACCTGATGATGACTGACCAAGATCAGGAACTCAGTTTGAAGGTCATCACAAAGAAGGGGATGGAGTTAAATATGATTGTCACCATGTTTTTTGCACCACTTCTGACCTGTAACTCATTCAGTTACTCTGTTCACAACTCTTCAGATTATCTACTCATCTAACACGTAATTTCATTGAGAACCCTTCACTTTGACCATTTCTTTAAGGTCCCAATACAAAGGCTTTTGTGGTGCAGTGGTATTTTCTCTATCCCGGAGCCAGGAGGCCTGGATTTACCTGCTCCAGTAGCGTGTAGTAACATCTCTGAAAAGTTGATTTAAAAAGGTCTTTGCCATTTGTTATGTTTCTCTCATGCTCAGAATTTCCTCCTTACGGTAAACCGTTGAGACATCCTTGTGCATGATGACCATTGTATTGGTGGTGTGAGTTGATCCTACATGCCACTGTAGCACTTAGTCCAAATACAAAGGCTGTTGTATTCAGCAAACTAATTCTCTGTACTCCCCTCTTATTACAGGAAAGTTTGCGCATTTGAAAAAAAAACACTATTTTTAATCCAAATGAGAATGAACATTTATGTCAAAATAAAGGAATATTAAACATAATTCGCTGCAAATTTTGAATTTTACCAATACAACCAGTGACCTTTTATTAAAAAAGAGCTCAGTTACACCACACCACTACCTCTTGACTCATCTTGTATGCTCTCTTACATTTTTCCCTCAATTATGGAAGGGTCTCAGCCCCTTTTGCCTAGCTTTTTGGATGGAAAGTAAAAATTCTGAAAACAAAATTAAGTCCTTTGGCTACATTTCCTGTATCTTTTTTTAAAATCTGAAACAAAACTATGAAAAACCAAGTTTAACTTACTCTCACAAATAAAAATAAAAGAACAAGACAACAGAGCACGTTTGGGAATAGATATCCGGATCTTGTACCTGTTCATTACTCTTCTGTGAACGATTTTTAAAATGATGATCCTCTCAGCACAATCTTTCAGAAACTCCGACATTTTCTGCTTCAGGCTGGGTTTGATTTCGTGCTTCGCAATAGCCTTTAGATGATCCCATGAGGCTTTGCACCTCCGCTCCAGCTGGCACAGGTTTTCTTGAAGCTGGTCAAAGTCGACCTGAGGACAAAAGATTAAAAAAAAATCAACCCTTGTTTTTTCTTTTTAAAAAACACAATCCTTCTTGAGAGCTCAACTCAGATTTGCTCACATTTCTGACATCAGTGCCATATGAACAGGCAGCCAAGGTGTAGAACAGAAAGGTTTGCAGTGCCAACAAAACACAGATCATTCCAGAATGAGCTAAGCAATCGATAAAGAGCCATGCCTCAGCTGAACTTTATGGAGACTGGGCAGCTGGAGAGGGTATGACAATTCATTTTTTTTTTCCCCATGAAAAGTCTTAACTCTCAAATGCTAACTATGTTCCACTCCTGACTTGCTGCAAGTTTCCAGCATCTTCTGCTTTTATTAACTCCTTTAGTTTTAGACTTTGGTTTGAATATAACTCAAGCTAATAGGACAATTATTGCCTGTAAAGGGGCTCAGCATAATAACTTGAATCGTCTCGATTCTATCGCATAAAAGCTGATAAGATCGCTGGAATGGGGACATCAGACTAGCACAGTATAGGGGTTAAGCAAGTTTTAGGGGAAGGAATCAGTTGATCTGTGGAGATATTCTGACAGTAACAATGCAATCAAAATGCAATCGTGTTCCATTCACCAACCTGAGAGTATATCTCTGTGCTAACGCAAACATTTGTTAAAATAACAACTTATTTTTGTAGCTGCTTAATTTACTTTGGTGCATTTTCTCTGTTGGGATCAGCAGTGACAACCCGACAGCTCAGAAGTAGAGAGGGCAAGAAGGAGAAATACCATGAAGCAATGGGTCTCAAAGGAGCATTCCATAATAGCTGGTCAAGAACAATTGCCCAGAAGAAAAATAAAGAATCTTGTTTGAGGTAGTTTCAGTCAAAGTTGCATTGATTTTTAGACTGAAACGAGGTTGTCACTCACCTTAGAACTATCTGTTGCAAACTCGCACACAAAGAGCAGAGATTAAGCAATTATAATCACTGCCCAATTTCATGGACTCTAATTGCCCATTCTTTGCCCCCTGCCATGTGTTGTATTAGCAGAGAAAATCAACCCTTAGTGTGTTTAAGTCTATGGCTAGGTCAGTGATTTCCAATGAAAAACCACATTGAAAGATGATATCTATTGTGTTGGACTGATACATTTTACACTAAACATGGTCAATCAGCAAAATTCTTGGAGGTCTCCCTCTCAGGTGGTAAAATGGTTAACGGTTTCAAGACAAAGAACCTCTGGGATTGCAGAGCTTCTGTGCACGATAAAGTCATTAGTTTAACAAATGCTAACTCCCAACTGCTCCCGGTGTTTGATTTATGACAAATAGACTTGCTCCAGTGAGGAAGAGTCGATGGCAGCACAAATCCCAAAAGGTCAGGCTGGATCGTAAACCTGTCTCTACATCGCTGACAGCAGCATTTGCAAAACTCCCCTTAGTGGCCAAGGTTAGATTGATTAGGCCAGCAGATTCTAGTGGCTGGTGTTAAGACAAAGGAACAAAATGCATGCCTGCTCTAAACTCATGAAGAAATTGAAGCACAAAGAAATTAAGAGCTGGTTTTTTTAAGAAAACATAAAAATCGCATGCTGAGTTTGAGAGATGGGATCTCATTCTCAAGCAAGTTTAAACAATGTGAAAAGTTAAAGGAGGTTGTTACTTTCAGCTTTACATTTCTAATGTGTTTTCTTTAGCAACAGATGTTGACAGTTCTGGCATCAGGGAATCTGTAGCTGATAAAGGAGCAACTGTTGAATTTATCAACATGAAGGAAACAAATAAGCCTTGCTCCAACACGTGAAAGTGGTTATGGTGATCTTAACTCAGTCTCTCTAAAGTGTCAGGCAACTGTTTTGTGCTAACTAGCTTGCAATAGTAGGAACGTTGCATGTGCTCTGAAGTCAAAATTAAACCAATTCCCTTAATATATTTACACTGTCATAAACTCAACAATTTAAAGGTTATATCCATTAAAACTACAGAATTTGTTGCAGACAATGGATTGAAATCATGTGTTCTTAGAACTGTTCTATTTAGGTCACTGCCCAGAAGACACTCTACCTTGTTTTGAAAAATTACTTTCACAAAACTAACCCACATTCATCTGTCTCTATTGTGAAATCCAGAATCCAAATTAAAATAAATCTATTCATACACCTTTCGTCACATCAAGAGTTGTTATTCTCTTTTAGTATTGAATCGGACAAAAATTACAGTGTTCAGTTCTGCCATTCAGTGAATGCTTGAAATACTCCCTAGGCATCACTCATAGCTCAGCTGGTAGCACTCACACCCCTATATCGTAAGGTTGTGGGTTCAGGTCTCACTATAGGGACTTGAGCACAAATTATACATCAAGACTTTGATGCAAACCTGAGACTGTGCCTCATTCACACTCACTGTCAGAGATGCTGTGCGTCAGACAACATGTAAAACTATGACCCAGTCTTGCTGAAACAGGCGGATGCTGAAGATTCAAAAGGTGGGTACAAATTTGGACAAGATTATTGGAAAAACTGTTCACTAAAATAGCAAATGATCTGCTCATTGGTGTTTGAGGAGCTTTCTGTGAGCAAATTTTCCTCCAGTACAACAGTTATTATTTGGCTGTCAAATTGAGTTTGGGATATTTAAATGGTGACACGTGCTATAATAATTTAGTTATTTCTTTCATTTATTAGATAACTTAGAGGAAACTAGCAAACTTGATTGCAGAAATGCTACATATAGAAGCAGGCCAATTCCTTCAGCCTGCCAGACTCGGCTATAAACACACCAAGTAGGTTATGTCATTTCTGGTTTGCAGAGTTCATCAGATGGAATGATAGGAGATAAACAGGCAATTTAGTAAGGTTGAAAAAAAAAATAACAATTCACAAAAAAAAGGTTAAACTAACCGAAACACCACTCATGAAGAGTGAATTGCAAGATCTGTAATGTTTCATTTCACAAGTTAAATAACACGTGACTGCTTGATAGAAAGGCTCAAAAGTCAGAATTCAGAATAATTATAACACAGCTGGATGGTATAATAGAAGTTTTTTTTTAAATGAGAGTTATAGATAGTTAATGGCTATTTAAAATCTCCTGACCTAGATCCTACAAACTAAGAAACTGCAACTCCTAAATTTTTCAAATTAACCTTTCCAGACATGTTATGACACCCCTATGGTGGAGGTGGGACTTGAACCTAGGCCTCCTGGTTCAGAGGTAATGACATTACCACAGTGCAACAAGTACCTGTAGCTGCTTCTGTACTTGTCAGGTCCATAAGTCAATGTAAAATAACCAGTGTCTAAGGTACTGTACATTTTCTCTGTGTATATCAAAGGCCAGAAGTCACACGACACCAGATTATAGTCCAACTGGTTTATTTGAAATCACAAGCTTTCGCAGCACTGCTCCTTCATCACCTGACAAAGGGGCAGCGCTGTGAAAGCTTGTGATTTCAAATAAACCGGTTGGACTATAACCTGGTGTCATGTGACTTCTGGCCTTGTTCACCTCAGTCAAACACCAGCACCTCTACATCATGGCTATATCAAAGGCAAAATAAAGCTAGGAAAGAAAACAGAACTGGTAAAGTAAATCTGTTACTGAGTCAGACAGAGTGCACATCATTTTGAGTTCAACCAGAGGGTGAGATACTGTATAACCACCTGTGTTTCACTCTCGTTACTGCTTTTGTGGTTATGAAGAGATTCACCATCAAGCAACTCCTTCCAGAGAATTTACAATCATTGAACTAGATTGATAGAAGTAACAACTTCCACATAGAACCTGCTGCTGTGTTTTACACTGGTCTTACTCTCCAGGTCCAAGACACTGAGGAGCTTGCATCATGTAACTGAGGCTTAACGGTAATTGTGGTTTGAGTTAAATATGAATGAAAATGTTAAAGTGGTGATTCAGCAGGTTGAGGTAGAAAGTCAGCCATGGTCAAATGGGGGAGTAGGATGAAGGGCTTATGATCGACCCACTGCTCTTACTTCTTCTGCCGTTTGGGGAATGGAAGCAGTGATCATGAAATTTGTTTTCTCTTTTTTATGTGACTGCCTGTCATAGTCTGTTGTCTACTTCCATCGCACGGATAGCAGGCAACCATCCAAACATTAATGCTTCGGAAATGAAGACATTCAGTTGTCAGCTTTGGTAATCTATGTTATACAGCAAGTGTGGAAGAGTTTTTTTTATATTGATAGTAGTGCAGAACTGCTAATCTCTAGGATTCCACATGTGCCTTGGGTGAATAACATATTAAGCCTTCATATTTCCCAGTTCCAAATAAAATCATATCCAATTGTTTCAGCTAATATTACCACTTTGATTTGATTTGATTTGTTATGTTCACATGTCCAGAGATAGTGAAAAGTATTGTTTTGCGTCCTATCCAGCCAAATCATACCTTAAGTACATACATCAGGGTAATAGAACAGAATGCAGAATATAGTGTTACAGCTACAGAGATGGGACAGAGAAAGATCAACTCTATTACTTGAGTGCTCCGTACACAAGTCTAATATTGTAAATCAGGGTGAAGTTAGTTGATTCTTTAAGATCCCATTTAAATGCAGTGGTCTAGCGAAATTCTAAAATACCCCAAAACTCAATTTGTAAAGTTTTTGAGTGAAATACAGAACAGTATTTTGTTACTTTCTGGCCTGGCTGGAAAATACAGCTGCGACATCTGGATAATAGACAGACAGAATGTTTTTTCGCTGACATACCTTGGCTGACCTTGTGATGGCCCCAATCTCTGAATACAGGTCCGAACTATCTGGAAATTTTTCCACCACAATAGTCGCTATGTGATGCAGCAGTGATTGCTTATGCACTGTGTCTTTTACTTCTGGTACTTTCTCCAAGTACCCCAGCTCAAAACCTTTTGCCTGCCAGGAGAAGGGGGAGAAAAATACTTACTCCAAAAGATACATATTTAGCACTGACAGAGATCATCATTCTGTTTGCAAAAGGAGAACCTAATCACATATAAAGTAAAATTATGTGATTAAAGATGATCTTATCATTAGCAATAAAGTCAAATGTTTAAAATTCATTGCTGTAATACAAAGCATGAAGAGTCAGCACTACAACTGACCATGTTTACTGAAAATATAAACAATCCTGCTTACCATCAAGTCCCCACGTGACAGTGTTCTGATCAAGGATAACATTGACTCAGGCTACAATATGTGCTCCACAGCTCAAATAACTGGCCATCAATTACTGGATTTATTCTCTGCAGCCTATATCCAATGACACCAGCAGTTGTTGTCCATCCCCAATTGCCCAAGTACTGAGCCACTTTCTCAAACATTTTAGAGAGAAGTTAAGAGTCAACTATATTGGGCCAGAAGACAGAAAGAAAGACGAAAAAATTTCTTACTTAAAAAGGACATTCGTGACCCAGATGGTTGCTTTTTGGATAAGTGTTGATAGCTTCAAGGTCACCATTATGGAGATTAGAATTCGAACTGGAATTGAAAGCTAATTGTATTTAAATACGAATGTTTAACATAGTGGCACTTGAATCCATTGTCCCCAGAACACACTGGATTACAAGGTCAGTAATATTACCACTATGCCATCATCACTCCAAGCAGTTGATTGGAGTGCGGCTAATTGTATCCCTACACGAGTCCATGCCTTTGGTAGTGGATAGGAGAAAGTCGAGGGATGGAGAACATGAAAAGGTTCACTGTAAAAGTTTGTGGTTATTACAATATCTTCTGAGTAAAATTTCTTCCGTCGACAACCACAACCTGTCAAGAATTTTGCAATTCAAGAAGCCAAGTCTGACCAACAACTCCCTAATACCTTCAATATGGTCCTTTTTAAAATCTTGGATCAACATCAAAATTCCTTAATACACATGAAAAAATGTGAACTGCAGTTAGATTAAAAAGGCACATTTAATCACTGTCTATGTGAATTACTTGTACCAGTTATTTTTAAACTGAGTAAACTGCACATATAAAAGGTAGTTAAAAATGATATTACTCTCAGCTCTCTTGTGTAACTTTCTGTTACTAGGAAGGTTTCCCACTCTTCTCCTACACTAGATGTGATTTGACTTCTAAAAAAACAAGTGACTTTCTCAAGATTAGCATGTAAGGCAACTTAATTCTCTGTAGTTTTGGCCATTGAACAGTAGCTTTTATATACAGTTGCTCCAGCCACTAAGATGTCATTCTCAGTGAGTAGAGAGGTACATAATTCCAACCTGAGTCGTAAATTGATCTCATTAGCATGGATTCGTGATATATTTCTCTGATGCTTAACAATAATATTGTTAGCACTAGGTGTTGGGTTTCATTATTTGCTCTTTTTTTAAAAAAAACTTCAGTAAACTCCTACTCTACTTACTTTATATCGACATATATTTAGGTTCGCTTGAGTGTTTTTTTTAAAAACTCCTTGTATTGGTGAAATGACACGAATTAACAAATCTGAACATTGCACACTGCTCTATACTGTCTTGTCTGAGTACATCTTTAATTCTCCCATATTTGCCTTGACCATTGCATCTCAATGTCATAAAATTTTCCTCTTCGTGTTGTTTTCCTGTTTGTATCTCACAACATTCCTCTGTATTCCTTTGCTGTTTTTATATACATAGTCAGTCTAGATTTCCAAATTCTCAACATTTCTATAAGCCTTTTATTTTACCTTGCTGCAGTATTTATCTAATTTATTGAACATGGTTGCTTAACTACACAAGCAAAACTTTTGCCTTTTAGAGATGCATGTCAGTTTTGTATCAAAGCAAAAATGAAGGGGAACTTTTGTCCCTGTTCATAGACTCCTGCACAAACAGGTCAACAATTTGTCCTGCAGATAATGCAATGTTCCTTCCATTTGAAACATGCTCAATTTAAAATTTAGAACCAGTTTTTGACTCCTCTTTCTCCATCTCCCTGCAACCCAATATTAAGTTCAATTGTATTATGGTAATTATTACAAAACATTTCACCTTGCCCACATTTTACCCACCAGCTTCCATAGTCAACATATCATTCAGCATTATGTCTCTTCCCAAATACACCTTTATCTCCCCTACACTTTCAGCATTCAAAAGGAGACTGTCCACTAGCACACACTCCCTTTTCCCATAACCCAATGCAAATGCAGGAGATTTAGCACTTGCCCTTGCATCTCCTTTCATCCAACCACCCTGGGCCCCAAACATAATCCCCAACTAAAGCAGCAAGTAAATTGAAAGACCTGCAATGTTGCCTGCTGCACTGCTGGCTGCCAAGTAGTGTACTGTACATTTAGGAGGCCCCAAACGCAAATAGAGTGATTGCCTTCCTGAATAACTTCATATAAACTGAAACCATGATCCTGAATTTCTAATAACTGGACACTAATTCTTCACTTTACTTACTCGAGGAGTTCAGCTTCCTGCACAACCCAATGGAGGGCGTGTGAATTAATCCTTGGAGTGGGGTGTTCCAATTAGTACAAAACCCAAGGATTGGTCTGTGCGCGAGATTCTATCCATCTAAGTCTCAGAGTCACACAGTAGAAACAGCCCTTTTGGCCCACCATGTCTTTGCTGAACAATAAACACCAAACTACACCAATCCCAATTACTTGCACTTGGCCCATAGCCCTACTATACTCCAACGTTTTAAGTGCTCGTTCAGATGTTTCTTAAATGTTGTGAGAATATGCACTTCCACCAACCTGTCAGGCAGCACGTTCCATATATCTACCACTGTCAGGGTGGAGTTTGTTTTTCTCAGATCCCCTCTAAACTGCTTGCTCCTCACCTTAAGCCTATACCCTCTGGTGTTAGACATGTCTGCCATGGGGAAGAGAATCTCACGATCTACTCTGTCTATGCCTCAATCGGATCCATCTCGGTCTCCTCTGCTCCAAGGAAAACAAACCCAGCCTAGTCAGTCTCTCCTCACAACTGAAACTTTGTCTCCCAGGCAACATCCTGGTGAATCTTTTCCGCATCCTCTCCAGTGCAATCACGTTCTTCTGACAGCATGGCATCAAGAACTGTACATAGTATTCCACCTATGGCCTAACCAATGTTTTATAAAGTTGTAGCAAGACTTCAGTGCTCATATATTCTACACTGCAGCTAATGAAGGCAAGCATCTTGTATGCCTTCTTCACCACACAGTCGACCTGTGCTGACAGCATGGAAGATCTGTGGACCTGTACACCAGGATTCCTTTATTTCTCCATGCTCCCTAATGATCTATCATTCAACTCCAGAGTTCCCTGCCATGATGATCCTGCCCAGTTTGCCCATTTACCTGCTGTTCTATTGTAACCATTTAGGTTTCCATTTGTCTTGTATTTTGTTCCTTTACTTGTTCTGTTACCACCCCCGAAAGCATTATTCTTTTTTCCGTATTATTATTTAATCACATAGCTGTTCATTAAACATCTCTCTCTCTTTTCCCTAGCCATCCTTGTTGAAAAGTTAAAAGTCTAACATCACAGTTCTGATGCAAGATCTAAATTATCAACTCAGTTCCTCTCACCATAAATGCTACCCGACTTACTGAGTGTTTCCAGGCATTTCTATTTTAGACTGTCAGCTAGAAAGGTTTATGAGAAGTGAGTCTTTTTCCCCTCAATGTCTTCAGTTCAGTTCAGTTCCATTTTCATCACTGTTATCTAGAGATTCTACAGGTTCCCCCAGCTAATGTGCTCATCTATGATGTCCACTGCTAAGCTTTCCTCTCTTTAAGCCATTCATTGATACATGATAACATTACCTCAACATTAGGGCAGACTATTTAAAAGTAAATCATTTTTCTCCCAAATCCACTATGCAAACAAAGTAACAGGAAAACAGATGAGCAATGTTAATAACTGGAAAAACCAATAGACTGTTCATAAATCAGAGACTTTTACACTCAACTTGCTGATAAACCTTTCACCGAGAAAGCTCCAAGTCAAAAGCAAATCCTCATACATTCCCTTTCATCTACTTTCCCATTATCCAATTTTCCTGTACATTATACAATTCAAATTATGGACATTTCTAGTCATTTAAGACCAACCAGGCTCAAATAATGCTGCACAAAATTGTGCCTACTCATGCGCTAAGAAGGAATATGTAACCTTTTGCTGAAATTCTTTGGATGTCAATCTCTTTCTGACCAACACAAATCTACTCATCTGATTGTTTTTCAGAATATGTCAATTTAGTATGGATTTGGTCAACAGTCTCAAAGCTCTGAATATGACCAGTCCATAGTTTCTTTGTCCAGCATCTAAAGGATTCAAGGGATAGTAGCAGTCTATGTACAAAAGTGCCTAAAATACAGAAAGCAGAGAGTAAACTGGAAAACTGTCATTATTCAGACTGGAGGGAAACACATTAGCATCCAACAAGGGTCACTATTAAAACAATTGCCCAGTTGGATATATATGAATGACTTTGCTTTGGTTACAGCGAGCAAAATTTCCAAGTTTGCAGAAGATACAAAACTTAAATGGGGTGGGATGGGGGTTAAAGGTTTTAAGGGCAAGCAGGAATGCAGATTTGAGGCTACAATCAGATCAGCCATTATCTTAATGAATGGTGGAGTAGACTCACGGAGCTGAATAGTCTATTCCTAATTCATATATATGCATGAATGAATGAAGCAAAAAGCACAAAAGTAAAATAGTTCGGCCAAACGATTGTAATTTAAGAATGAACAAACTAGAGAAAGAAGACGCTCAATCTTACATTTGATGCATTTAGGAAGTTGCCTATAGCCAGTAATGTTGCCAGGATGTATCTTAAAGTTTTATTGTTTTCTAACTGGTCCATTCCTTCTTTCAAGTCTTGCAGAGGCTCCGCAACTTCCTGCAAGTAAGACATAAGCATACCATATCACCAAGGTCACAAGCACTTGATGCATTATGCACTGTATAACATTTTAAACATCATTCGTGGGCGTCATTAGCTGTGGCAGCATTATTGCCCTAGTTGCCCTTGAGAAGGTCGTGGCAAAGCTACTGATGAATGTTCAGCCAAACATCAACTTATCTATGATCCTTCAATAAAGCTAAATGCTATTTATACATTCAAATCTCGCAAGCTGCATTACACCAAGAAATTCGCGTTCGTGAAAAAGGCAGCTAGTGAACATTAGTTGTGAAAATTTCTGGCTTGACAGAACAGTAGCCTCAATTTCATTTGCAATTCCATATGATTTAGCAGATTCAGATACATTGTGGCATCAGCTGTTCAGTACTGAACAGGGAATTATATTCTTGCAAGATATGAACCTTCAAACTATACTCAGTTGCATTGTTGACATACTATCAAACATTGTACCCTCACTAACGATCCCTTAGCAGCCAATAAATATGCACTGGTTTAAACTGAACTAAAATCACTCTTGCAATCATGGTCTTGCTCAAAAATACACCTCTTGACAATTACTCTCTCGCTATAATTCCACCTCTTATCAGTGAGAAAACGTCGATCTCATTAATATCCCTAACTGGTAGCAAATCACAGTTGTTGTAAGCAACAAAAGGCTAAAGATGCCATTGCATTTTATTTAGTTATCCATTGAAGCGGACATCATAAGGCCATACTGTCAATCAAACGCTGCACATATAAACAAAATTTTTTTCTGCATTGTTGTTACCTTCTCTACTGTCTCATAGTCTAGCTTGAAGGCCCAGAGTTGGAGTCTGGCTGAGAGTTCACTAATAGAAGACAAAGTAAGAAGGAACTGCTCTGCAGAACCCAAAGGAATGTCGGGATTCAGCAACTGGGCCTCCTGGATCTTCTGCTTTTCCTCTTCACTGGGAATCATGGTCAGGATTTTCTAAAACAAAATCAGATACATGAAAACAATTTAATGATCAATTGCCTGCAGCATTTGGGATTTTTTTTATATTTCATGGGTCTGTGCATTTTACTTTGGAGAGTGACATTCTACATAGGACCATCCGCTGGTTATACAATTAAGATTAGTCACTCTTCTTTTCCAATGTTTGAGCAGGAGAGAATCAGAATTCTCAAACCCTAGATGTTAACTTGTCTAACGACATGTTGGACGAAGGTGTGAATGGTGACATGCAATCCATCTGACTTGTAAATATTTGAATACACAATATATCAAATCTTAGGGTGAACATTGAAAGGAAATTCAGTAGCAAAATGTGTTTAAAAAGTGAAACTCTCAATTTTGGCCAGCTCTCAATCAGTTAGATTCTACAAGAATGTGCTCTCCTCACACTTGACCTTGGGCACTTTGACAGACACGCCGAATACTGGTCCTATGATAGATAAAAATTTGAAAAAAAAAATCTGTTCAGTAGCATACAGGGAAGTACATTAGAGATATTAAAAATGAAACTAGATGCTATATTATCAGACATGGTGGCCAAAAAAGAATGGGTGAAATAGCCTTTTCTCTCATTTCTTCATTAACTGCTCAGTAACAGTAACATCAGAGTAGGAAAGTCATGACTTCAAGTCACACTTCAGAGATTTGAGCACGTAATCCAGGTCAACAATGCAATACAGTGCTGAGGAAGGGAAAAAATATTAAACCGAGACCCTATCTGCTCTCTCAGGCCAGTTTAATAGACCCCATGGCATTACTTTGAATAAGGGCAGGGAAATCTTTGATGTTCTGACTAATATCTAACCCTCAATCAATAGCTCAATTGAGAAACCATCTGCCTCAACAGGAGGCTCATCTTGACTCATCCCATACCTTTACGCACGGTCAGAAATGGACAGAGAAATCCACTGGAAGCTTACCTCTATACCTTCTTTATTCAAGGCATATTCATCAAAGTTCAGAATTGCGGTCTTAATTGTTCTTGGTGGTGGCAATACGGTCAGTCCAATGTTAATGGCATTGCTCCGTTTTGAGTCTAACACAATGATTTCCTGTCTCTTCCCATCTGCAGCCGTTTTCTGAGATAAAAAGTTACATATTCATACAGAATTAGACTACACATACAAAATAACTTTTGAGTTCTCAGAATGTTGGCTATTTGTTAAGGATAGACCACATTGCTGAGAAATACCAGGGTGCTAGAGACAAAAATACGCCTTTCCTTGAGCACACCTTCTATGTCTATTCCCATTCAAAGAAAGGGGTAAGGAGTCACAAGCACTTCCTCTGCTAACTTATGTTATAGGATCCCAACAGTGTGGAAACAGGCCCTTTGGCCCAACAAGTTCACACCGACCCTCCGAAGAGCATCCCACCCAGACCATTCTCCTACCCTACATTTCCCTCGTCTAACCCACCTAACCTAAACATCCCTGAACACTACGGGCAATTTAGCATGGCCAATCCACCTACCCTGCACATCTTTGGACTGTGGGAGGAAACCAGAGCACTCGGAGGAAACCCACACAGACACAGGGAGAATGTGCAAACTCCACACAGACAGTCGCCCGAGGCTGGAATTGAAGCTGGGTCCCTGGCGCTGTGAGGCAGCAGTGCTAACCACTGAGCCATTACGTTCACCACTGTGATCAATAGAACCTTAGTAGAAACCAGAGGCTTGAAAATCCGTGGGAGCCCATTGATCCCTTGCAGTAACCCTGCTGGAAGATGAGCAAAACCAACTAACCCCACACCAAAAGAGCAAGGATGGAGTGTTAGGGTCTAGTTGCTTTCCTGGAGTTAACTGCATGCCACATGAACACAGACATGCTCTTTCTCTACCCTTACCAACCAATAAGACGTAAGGAGCAGATGTGGGCTATTTGACCCATTGGGTCTGCTTCACCAATGAGACCTTGGCTGACCTGATAATTTTCAACTTCTCCTGCTTTTCCCCCTTCATTCCCTATATCATAGAACAAAATCATAGAATCCATACAGTGTGGAAACAGGCCATTCAGCCCATCAAGTCCACACCAACTTTATCCATGTAACCGTGCATTTTCCATGGCTAACGCACCCAGCCTGCACAGCCCTGGACACTGCGGGGCAATTTAGTATGGCCAATCCACCTACCCTACACATCTTTGGACTGTGGGAGGAAACCAGAGCACTCAGAGGAAACCCACGCAGACACGAGGAGAATGTGCGAACTCCACACAGACAGTCACCTGGTGGAGAATTGAACCCAGGTCCCTGGCACTGTGAGGCAGCGATGCTAACCACTGAGCCACCGTGCTGCCAAACTCCAAGGGTGACTGCCACATCAATGCTCCAATTTCACCTACTTCCCGCAAAGATCTTTGTGTCCCACTCAAACGCGCACTCTAAGTTGTGTTTTTTTTACAATAAAAATAGGAATAATTGAGGAACATTTCAGTTTTGTACATGATTATACCTTCATGCAAATGTTCTCATCCACTGATTGTTAGATCAATGACATTGTGGCTCAATCAGTAGCACAGCAGCGTTCCCATCTCTGAATCACGATGGCGTGGATTCAAATCCAATTTGAGCCCTGGAGCTCAAAAATCACAGTTAAATCTAATGCATTTCTGAAAGAGTGCAGTTCTGTTAGAGGTCACAACTTATGGGTAAGTACCTGCTGGTCTTCTGAAGGGGAAAAAGATCCCACAGACAATTTTGAAGAAGAATTGCAAGAGAATTATATCTGGTAACTTAGTCAACATCTATGCCTTAATTAATATCAGAAAAACTGATTTCCTGGGATTAACACATTGCTTGCAAGAGTTCGCTGAATTGCACCAGTGCAAGTTGTGATGTATAGTTTGACAGGTTTGTGATCACCGTTTGTAACATGTCCCTGATTGCTCTTGGCAAGTATGAGCAGGTCATGTTTACCACTTGGATATAGTGGGAGAAAAATGGGAAAGAGATCGTATCAAAATATGAAGCAGTAGAACACATGAACAGCCTAGGAGTGGGTCAACTACCTGTCAACTCAGACTGACACTGGTGTCTTGTCTAGAGAAACAGCTTCAAAAATAACTTAAGGGGGAAACACAACTCAAAAAAAATGGATAAGAATGTGCACTCTTCACGTATGAATGAACACAAAGGATCTCGTGACCTTACAGGAACCATTCACTTATTAGGAAAACAGTCTTCAAAATGAAAACATAAAGCATTTCCAATAAAATAACATCTGTAGGAATGATTTCCTGGTAATTCCACCTGCAGAATATTATAACGTAGAATGACTGGAACGCACAAAAGCCCACAGACTCTCTTTTCAGAGAATATTGTAGGAGAGAAAAGAAAACCAAAGCAAACACACACTGCCCTTTGAGAGCCACAGGAGTCTTTCAAGACTGAAATGGAAGACTGTAGTTTTGTGGTTCATTGCGACAGCTGTTGACTCGATATCATTCTTTTTCCTTGCTCATTTCAAATGAACATTCTCTGCTAGAACGCTACAGGAGCTTCATTTCAGAAAGGCTGTTGAAAATCTGGTAAGAATGAGGTTGACATGGAGTTGGAGAGGGGTGGAGAGGACTGACCACAAATTACTACCTGACTGACACAAACCACCTGCATTATCACTGCGCACCTTTAACCACCGAAGGCATTGAATCATACATTAGAAAATATGTTCTACTTACTTTCCAATGCCTTGCTAGAGTAACCATTTATGCCTGATTTTTCAACTCACTTCTGTTTTTATTCCTGATTTACAGCATCTGCAGTTCTTTTGGTTTTTAACCGTTTTCGCAATGTATTAGCAAAGACCTTGAATACAAGGGATTTTACAGCAGAGCTTGATTTCGCCATCATCCACAGTCTGTAAATTTACACTTCCCAGCATGGGTCAGAGTCAGGGTTTATGTTTCAGGGTAGAAAGGGCACTTATTGTATCTCTAGTCCAGTCAAGGCCAATTAACTCAACACGGATGACTCCAAGAGGAACTGCCTCATCTATATAACCCCATTTCCCATGTTGGGCAATGAATTCCCAAATTAACTATCAAGAAAACCCCACAATAAGATTTAGAATAGAAATTTTTAGCATTCTATTTGATTAGAAACAGACTCTTAATGTTGACTGGTGCCAAGTCACCTTTTTATTTAAATAGATGCCAATTGAATGCTATCATTTAGGGTTGAGAGGTGTCCTTATAGAGGTTTATAAAATCATGAGGAGTATAGACATATAGGTAAAGAGGGGTTAATGGTAGGTGTCTTTACCCTAGGGTGAGGGATTTCAAGACTAGGAGGCATGTTTTTAAGTCGAGAGAGACACATAGAGAGACTTAAAAAAGACATGAGGGGCCAATTTTTTGCATAGAGCATGGTTCACATGCAGAATGAACTTCCTAACGAAGTGGTGATTGCGAGCACAGTTACAATGTTTAAAAGACACTTGCATAAGTACACAAGTAGGAAAGGTTTGGAGGGATATGGGCCAGGAGCAGGCAGGTGGGACTATTTAGTTTGAGATTATGATTATCATAGACTGTTGGTGTGTATCATAGGATTCAATTACTCATCAAAATAGTGGACACTACATTCTAAGCCAGTAAACTGTAGGAACAAATTGACTACAGTATTAACTTTCCACCTGGTGGGACAGTAGAAAAATATTGCTACCAGGAGGTATACAACTTCATGCCCTTCTACTTGTCATAGCTGCATAAGATGAAGTACAAACAAATAATTATAAAACAAAAAGCTAATCTTGATCAGGCAAGACTGACAGCCAAGATGAAGATGTTGCCATTACACTGGAGAGGGTTAATGGTTCCAGATCACTATAAATGTCTCCAGCCTACATCTGCATTCTCTCCAGAGGTATATTTTAACACTACAAAACCTTGCTCAGGCAAGAATGTACTCAGGAAAATATGTTCCTTGCATTTCTGTAGCTATGTTGGCAAGGCTAGGCTGTGCTTACTTAGAACAGGTGGCTTTTATTGGAAGTGAAATCCAGCACTTACTGGGGACCTGAACTAAGAACAGAAAATGCTGGAAAAACCCAGCAGGTCTGGCAGCATCTGTGGAGACAGAAACAGGGTTAATGTTTCAACACCAATCTAACTCTTCATTGGAACTTCAGGAAGAGTTGAAAAACGTGGGGAGGAGTAAGTGGAACAGAAGGGAAGGACAGAGGGCAAAGTAAGTTCAAGATCACAGGTGTCACAGTGAAGAGAGGGAGGGAGAGGACATGCGGGGGAAGGAGGGCGCGTGCGAGAGAGAACAGGTATTAAATTTAATGTCAAGTCCAGAAGGCTGTACAGTTCCTAAATAGAAAATGAGGCACTGTTCTTCGACCTTGTATGGAGCTTCACAGGAACTCTAGGACAGAAACGTGAACAGGAAAGCTGGGTGGTGTATTGAAATTTTCGGCATTTTACAGCATTTGGGATTCAGTGTTAAGTTCAACAAATTCAGATCTTGAACATCAAGTTCCATCTGGTTTTCCTTGCCTTTTTCTCTTCATCTTATTCCCCCTAAGCAAGTCTGATTCTCTGGCAGAGCTGACCAATATTCCGCACTTCTCTGGACCTATCCTCTCTACACCATTACCACTCTCTTTGCCTTTTTGTCCTGTGACACCCATGATCTCTAACCCCCCTTACTTTCTAGCCTTCTCTTCTGCTCCACATCCTCTCCCCATTGTTGTCCACAGTATAAAACCCATATTTTCTCTTCAGTTCTGAAGAGGAGTCATCATGGATTCAAACATTAAACATGCTTCTCTAATCACAGATGCTGCCAGACCTGCTCAGTTTTTCCAGCATTCCCTTTCCATTATGGATTTTATTGTACCCACATATAAATGAAAGCAACACTCTTGCATTCATTGATATTACCCTTTCAGTTCACCGCTTCTCGTCACGGCAAAATGTACCAGAGTGAGAGTGTGAATCAGGGCACAAGCCAGCTTCAAATGAAGCTGAACAAAGCACACCCTGGGCCAACAGCAATGTGACACTCTCAAGGGTTTACAGAAGGCAGTATAGTCAGTGCTGCTCCAAGGTTTAAAATTTGAAATGGCTGA